GCTGCACGGATAACATCTAGACGGTAGCTGAATTCATCCTACACTCGATGACAAATATCTTGCGTCACTGAGTTCACCGCAGCTGTGATACAGTTTCTTAGGTCATTCAAATTTGTGGGAAGAGGTGGTACACGCCACACAGTTGTTTGCGATAGTCCAAGTTCTCTACTAGCACTACGGGTTGACTTCATTGGGCTGCGCTCAAAGTTCACTCGAATGCACTCCACGTTCTCCTCCGATACACGTGATCGGCCCGGGATTTTACCCTTACACAGAGAGCCAGTTTAATCAAATTGTTTATTCCAACGATAAATGCTCTTCCTCGTTGGAGGTTGGATGTTAAATTTACGACGAAAGGCACGCTGCACCGCAGTCGCAGACTCACTTTTACTGAACTCACGAATGCAAAAAGTCTTGTGTTGATCAGTAGCAATCTCGCTTACAACTGACGCAGTGATGGAGGGCACTAGCGGTAGTACTAGAAACTTTGTAACATCCTCTTTCAAATGTACTTTACAGAACTCAAATGCAACGTATAGTTCAGGAAATATAGTCAGTTGAAATTGTGTCCATCTTTCTGAATCACTCTGTATATTGTCATAATATTAACATGGGTATTAGAGATGTGGGGTGTGAAACAGCTGGCTTGGGACAGAGTTTCGTGGCATGGTTTTGAGAACACAGTATGAACTTTCACTGTTCAGAAACAAAGTTTTTCTTGACTAGCTGAGTAACTGTTAGTTTTCATCACCTTGTATCATGAGTTTTGTATGTTCATACAGAATGGTTGGATAGTGCTTTGTAAAATGTTTAAGTTGTTGGCTTTATCATCCAATTCCAGGCAGAGATAACATCATATGGCCTGGCTTGACTGTGCCAGTGTTACGAGGCAGAGAGCTGGTACAGCAGCAAAAATTGCCAGAAGATCCAGAACGTGAGAAGAAGCTAATAAAATTGCGGGACGATATGGGCAATTTCCGGCCTCTCAAATTAAGTCCTATAGAACGGGGCTGGTCAGGAGTAAAGATGCCCGGTAGGAGTATTGGTCCACCAGATCCAGTTGGGGAAGGTACAAATACTGGTTTATTTTGTAGATATATTCTAATCCCTCCTGCTAGAATTTACTGTTGGTTCCATTAAAGTTTATAGATATGTTGGGTTGTTTGTAATTTTAGCACTCCAAAATGTGGTAGTCACAATTTATTGCACTTGCATTATATTTAAAGTTTTAATAATGTGTAATGAAGTAATACATGTTCTCTCTGTTGAATTAATAAACCCCTTCTTATTTGCAGAAACATTTGATGGTTTTGATACAAGAGTGTTAGAGGTAAGCACTGTTATTCACAATTTTATGGATGTAGGACAAAGAGCTTGCACATTTGTAGATGATAAGAATAGTCACGACTTGCTGTTAAGATAGTAAAGTCTGTATAGGTGGGGAGATAAGAAATGAACACAGTTTTACTGAGGAAACCTCCTGAATAGTGGCCGCAAAGAATAGGATGTGGCAGGAGGATGTCATGAAGGTCTCAGTGAAATCGGCTGGAATGATGGGACGGGGACAGAACTGACTCAGGTTTGTGTCTAATACTGGGCCTTTCTGGGGGCACGCAGTAGCATGGTTGAGGCACTGTGCTACAAGTAGGAAGGTCATGAGTTCAAGTCTCGATGAGGTGGATTTTTTCAGTTGACCTAATCCTTTCAGCTGCATTATGACCCTGGGGTTGACTCAGACTCTAATGGAAATAAGTACCAGGAATCTTCCTGGGGGGTAAAGGGTGGCTGGCACATAAGGCTGACAAACTTACAGCCATCTTTGAGCAGACTGTCTAGATAATGTGGGACCCTCAATGTCTCACAACCCTATGGGCCTTCATGGCCTGTTACAGGGATAGCTTTTACCAGGCCTTTTTATTAGCAGTGGCTTCACTACTGGGTTGTAACTCATTATCTGTCCTCCCCTGGTTGTTCTGTGTTGCTCTTTATCTAGAGTTTTAAAAACTTTAGTAAGTAGGTGCTTTATGTTACTAAAATAGGATTATGCATACCCATTTCTGCAATTTATTTATTTGTGAATTATAGAATGACTAATATGGGTGAGAGTAACTTGCTTTTGCAAACATTAAATAAAGTACTACCCAATGACTGACGCGAACTAACTGAACCAGTCAGGCAGTTCTAAAAGGCTTCTTGCTTGTAGTGTGCAATGGTACACTGTACCGCTTTTAACAACCCCCTCCCCCCAACATTACTAAAAGAATAAAATAAGTGCTGTGGTCAATATGAAGCCATGCAAGTCAACAGTCACTTTCAGTATTTGAAAGGTTTATTTTTTGTTGATAAACTTAAAATATTTTGTCCTCACATCCTAGTTGCACATAATAAAACACTTTCCCCTTTAGGAAAAAAAAAACACCAACATAAAGAAATTTTTAATCAGTATTTCATATTCATGAAGCAGGGATAGCTTAGTCACTACAGTGCCTGGCTATAGGCTGGATGGCCTGGGTTCGATTCCCGGCAGTGCAAAATTTTTCTCTTCTGCACAACATCCAGACTGGCTCTGGAGCCCACGCAGCCTCTTATTCGATGGGTACTGGGGCTGTTTCCCTGGGAGATAAAGTGGCAGGGGCATGGAGCTGACTACGCGCCTCCATCTAGTACCCAGTTCAAGAATGGTGGAGCTATACCACCACTCCCCCACATGTCTTCATGGCATAGTGCTTATCTAATGAAGCACAGGGACAGCTTTACCTTACTTCATAGTCATGGCATGTTCCCTCATCACAGTATGGCACATCCACAGGTTGCAGGTGGAGCTGGTGGTAGAGTATTTCTTTTCTTTATTTTCTTAAGTTGGTTATTTAAGGATGCTGTCAGTATCACACCTATGTAGGATCAGATGGTAGCATAACAGATGAATGATGAATTGGAAGGGAGCAGTAATGGCCCAAGTGAGGAATCATCTTGGAATCTGCCTGGAGGGACTTAAGAAGCCACTGTCAAGTTAGCTGGTGACCTGGCCAAGATTCAAACTGCACATTAACACTTCCAAATACAGCTTTTCCTGTTTATTATTCACAAATCATCAGTAAGAAATACTGACAGCAGTATTACATAAATCACACATAAAATAAGTCCATGTTGTTATTTATTTCATGTTCATCTGAGAGAGGGACAGCAGTGATTTCATTCATTCACTCATTTTTTATTTGTTCACAAGATCTACATTTGGCGATATTGCCTCAGATATAGAACACGTCCATAGTTTAAATATCCATAAGGACAGTGTCATAACAGAATACAGAAAGTACAAATATAAGTTTAAAAACATCCAGAGAACTACGTTATAACAGAAGACCTCATACATAATAACAATTCACCATCATAACAGTAATTATAAACATGCAAAACGCATGATAATGCCACCTATTTAACTTAAATTTCATCAGTACAATTTAAGGTATCTAAAATATTGTGACATGTTGAGCTATGGATGACGCCCCCCCCCCCCCACCCGTGATGCGCCGAGCGAAGCCGAAGTGAGCCGAAGTTAGCCGAGTCCTAGCATCCTGGTTGCTAGGCAACGCGAGTCAACAGCGATTACGTCACCAAGTGTACCGCGGGTTGCTAGGCAGCGTGGGTAACCAGGATTGCGAGAGACGACGGTAGTAACAGCGGTTACTACCGCTAGCGTTGCTAGCAACACAGCGCCAGGCAACAAGGGTGCTTATTACGTGGCCCTTTTTCTGTATTGTCCGATCGAGGCTACATGAGGAGCAGCGAAGGCTATTCACAGTTAGTCCTCAAGCTACCTCCGAGTTAGTTCTGAGTTAGCCGGCAACTAGTCAGTTGTATTCTGGCATTTGGAGTGTACTATTTGTGATACTGCAGATAGCAGTAATCGTAAATCTGTAATTTGGGTGATTGTAAGTGCGAATGTGAAATAAAATTCGCTATATCAAATACTTAAAAGA